ACAATCATTTTACTATATGAACTAAATATGCACGTATATATGAAGGCATATTAAAATGTTTTTACAAAATTTGCAGGTCATGCTAAGACATCGCACAATAATCAAATTCTTCATACACAACTTTTAATCATGATTAACATGTAGGAAATGGGAGATACAAATGTTCATCTCTTCTCTAGCCTCTTTTTTTTAATGTTCATTTTTTCTGTTGAAAAGGACTTACGACTGTACTCATTGTAACAAGATTAACGAGCAAGTGAAAAAGTTTTGAAAAAAGATTACAAGCTTCAAGCAAAATAAAGAAAAATATATAGGGTTATTCTACTAACATGTCTAAATGACATCTTTGGATATTTATTAGTTCTTATTTGTTGTAAAATTGTCTCAGTGTTTAAAAGTAACATGTTAGAAATAGCAAGTCTATTTAAACTTAAACTTAGATGTTAATGCACTCCTGTAAAAAAGCTTCACTATACGTTAGTGCAATAAATGATGCTCTGCACTACAGATGTTTTAATACAAAGCAGAGCTTCACAATTAAACTTTCAATCACTTTTGTTTATGGAGACAAACTAGAAAGTCAGATCCACCTGTTACATCCTCTCTTTCACAAATTTTCATCTACACAAAGTTACATTCAAAATTTAATTATCAATGTATAGAATAAACTTGGCATGAAAACATAGGTAATAAATCAAATTTTAACACAATAGAAGTTTTAAAGTCTTAATTAAAAAACATTCCTCCATTTCCACTCATATGAGAATTGACATTTGATTGCACCATTTTGCCCATCCCCCCCCCCTTTTAAGTCATGCCTCACTAATGTCGTAAGTTAAGATATTGTTAAGATAAAGTATAATTTTTATAGCCTTCAATCATTTTTGTTTATGGAGACAATCTAAAAAGTCAGATCCACCTGTCACATCCTCTTTCACAAATTTTCATCTACAAAAAAGTAGGTTTAAATTTAATTGGAAGGCCAACAGCAACAGGATATGACTGTGTTAATTATTCTGCTTGCACATTAAGTTAAAAAGTTAAGCTTATATAAAAAGGTTCTTTACAAGTGCCTCTGAAAGATCACTCTTTCAAGACCAGATCAAACTTCCTTTAATATAATGCTACTAGAAATCAAAATGATCGAAAAATGTTTTACTTGCACCATGTTTTTTAAAATTATTTTATAACTTTTTGCTCAAAATGTTAATGATATGTGGATTTTAACATACTAATACATTTATAATAAAAGAAAAAATAACTTTGTATACTAAATGATATCAAACGTCATTTCACAGAGTTAGATTTAGCTCTGCTACTTTTGGTAGGATTTTTACCAATGCCTAAATGTTTTCAGTTTTCCTTCATCACTTTAAATTTGTTTTTCACTCTTTGGTCAGTTACTAATTCAAAGTTGTAACACATAAATCAAAGTAATAACAGGTGAGAGCAAATTTACACTACTTTTGGATCATTCTCTATAACAGATGACTACTTCAATTCTCATATTGAAACAAGTATTTCTCTTCTTGAGGAAATATTTACTTAGAAATGAAAATAAGGATACAGTTTGTTTACAAAATCTCTAAAAGTTGATCATGAAAGAAATATATACATGGCATCTGAAAATGACACACAACTCACAAGTACAATCATGATTTTTTTGTTAAAATTGTTGATAATATTTACCTATTTTCTATTATAGAGAGAGAGCAAAATAGAATTTTTTCATGGTCACTATTCTTTCCTGGTAGATTAAATTTTAAATCAATGTCTTGTGGGGAAAAAAGTATTAAACTTTTCTCAGATCTATCCATTACTATGCATACTGTACAGCTTAAATACTAAGACATTAAACAAAAAGACTGAAAGCAAGCAGAAAAAAAAGGGGCATTATACTGTTTTAGAAAAAAGTTGTGCAATCAAAACCAAAAGTTAGTGTAGATTGTAAAATCTGTTGAAAAAACAATTACAAACCAGGTTTAAATTATTTGTGTAGTAGCACAAGAAAGTAGCACCTAAGAAATTAAGTTAGGTCAAAGTATGCATGTCACGACCTTTTACAAAGTTACATTCAAAATTTAATTAATTTATCACCAATGTATAGAATAAACTTGGCATCAAAACATAGCTTATAAATCAAATTTTTATATAATAGAAGTTTTAATGGCTTAACTTTAAAAAATAAGCCCTCCATCTTATCCACCCTACCCCTTTTAAAGTCATGCCTCACTAATGTTCTGAGTTAAGATATTGTTAAGACAAAGTATAACTTTTTTGTAGCCTTCACTCATTTTTGTTTATGGAGACAAACTAGAAAGTCAGATCCACCTGTAACATCCTCTCTTTCACAAATTGTCAATAATTCTGACATTTTCTATTACATCACTTATAACCAAAAGAAAGACAAAGTTTTAATGTATGATGTTCTCAGTGCATAATTTTAGCTATTTCATCTACAGATTAAAATTGCTCTTGTCAAGTTCAGAGTAAGTTAAGGGCATTATTTTAAGGCACTTATGCCTTAGTTAGAAAGCCATTTAAATTAGTTATAGGATATTGTTTGCTTTGTACATCATTCTGTGCTCTAAAGTTGATTATTCAAATAAATAAAAAAAGACTTAATATATTAGTACCATCATTACAAAAAAATAAGTTTAAATTTAATTGGCAGGCCAACAGCAAAAAACAACAGGTCAAACATCAGCACTAAATTTCATATTTTTGATGAATATTTTTTAGTTATTGTTCTAAAAGTAACTACTAAAATGCATATAAAATATAGAAACTTATTAGATTAAATAAGGTTAGACTGGGTAAGATAATGGAAAATAATAAGAACTAAAAATTTTCTCTATGAAGTATGCTCGTAAGTTATGTTATTCAATACAGTAACTTGAGCTACTCATTCACCAAGTGATTTACTACTTGTGTCACAGTATTATTAGTTAAATATGGTTAAAATAGCGATAAAAGAATAAAATTAATAGAAACAGATGTACTATTACAAGCCTTAAGCTATCTAGGATAAAAAATTGTAGTTTTTTTGTTACAATCTGCTGTCACTCGAGAAAAATAAAAAGGTCATTTAGGTTTACTTTGTACTTTTTTTTGTGGTGGTTACCAGGCAAGTCAAATCAACTGAGTCCGTATAGTTAGGATAGAGAAAATAACAGATAAAATATAACATTTTACTGAGAGAAAAAGTCTGATACTAATTTAAGAGGTTTTAGAAGTTATGCAAATAAAATTTCACCATTGTAAGATGAATAAAATATTTTTTATCTTAACATGAAAATCCCCTTGCACTTGGACTAGTCAACACTCTAAGTACATATTCACTGACAAATCTTTAGTGAAAATATTAATTAAAAAATATGATCTTTTTTGTGTGCAAAGGATTCATCAAATTTCAGAAGATACACATACAAAGTTAAAAGTAATAGTATGGATACTTTCATGGATACGTGGTGGTCGCAAGGTCGATCAAGATGACCCAGTTCCATGGAAAGAGTTAACAATAAATACAAAGTTTAAAAAGTGCCTTTTAGAAAAACTTCAATGCTGTGGTTGTAACAAAAGCATAGTGAATGGTTACCAATTAAAGATGTTAAGAAAGAACTTGCATCTGTTGTTGACCACTATTGTAATGTATGAAGTTTACACCAGCCAGTACATATAAGCAGCTGTCATTATACAGTTTAAATGTGTCTATAAGATGTTTTAACTTTACAATAATCATTTTTTTTTTATTGGATATTTTATAAAAACATCTTATATTATAGTCATAAGTAACTAATTCTCTGGAAAATGAGCAAAACACGAAGAAGATAAAATATGTCAATTTGACTGAAGATTATCTTTGGGATTCTCCTCTATTAATTAAGAATTCTGAGAACACTATATAATCAAACCTTAATTAATGGGCCTCAAAATTTTTTAAACAGAAGAATCTTTGAAAAAGAGTTAAATTAAAAAATAATCAAATTAACCTTTTCACTATGTAATGTAATTCCTATTTGATATTTTATGTATTTTATACAGCAGCTGTATTATGTTACCCTAGAGATATTCTATTCTTAATCTTGGTATATGTCAGTAGACAAATTAATATATAAAAACATTGAGAAAAAAACCTTCATATTAATATGGACACTGATCAGTGAAATGAAATTATTGTAGAAGAATTGATAAGAATTTTTAATTATTAACAAAATTTATTGCTCAGTTACCACATTACAAAACTTATTTTTCGTTACCTGAAACCTTGACTTGATTTTAATTGCACCATTTCAAGTTAAATTTTATTTAATATTACTATTTCCTGGAAAGCACATAATGGTATTTCAATAACAGTAACTTGGCTTAAATTTTAATTTGTACAATTTTTTAAATACTTTTATGAAATATCATCCTGCTTTAAGATTTCAAAAATACTGACAATTCCTAGAATTTTAGGAAGTATTTTATTAAGTTCTGCTCAATTTTAGACCGAAAAAGTTTTTCATTCTCTATGAAAGAATCCTTTAATCAACTTCAATTTTTATGTATATGTTATTAGCTTAAAACAAAAGTTAGAATTTTTATTAAAAAAACATTTAGAAAAAAAAATTACATACATGTCCTTTTCATGTCTTAATCTGTTCCCATATACTTATTTTAAATACAGACTGCATATCACATTTAAAAAGCTTTGTAAAATCATACTGTAGCCTAAAGTTAACGTAGATAAATAGAACCACATACATAATTCTTAAATAGATCAATCTAAACAATCATCTTAACTTTATAACTGATTACATCCAAACAAAAGTCAAAATTCCAAGATCTTCTTGCATAAAAATAAGTTAAAATTATCAAATACAGTAAAGATTTTTTAGATTAGTAATATTCATTAAAAAACAAAGAAAATGATAGTTAATAACAAGTGATATATTTCAGATAAAGACACTGGTAATTCCTATAACACTGACAACATGTTATATATTCTTTGTATTGTATTTAACTGCATAATTAAAACTAATTCTAATTAGAAAGCCCACAAAAAGCTATACTAGAAAGTGAAGACATGTTATTTAAAGCTTTCATTTTTGTAGGCAGACATCTTTCTTTTTTAAAAAGCCTCTTTCTTTACTCACAACAGCATAATTTTAGACAATTCAGCTTGCACAAACATCCATTTTATTGTAATAAATCAGCAGTTAAACACTACTGATGATTTTTTAATTTGTTTGCCAATATTCTGATGCTTTTTAACCTTTATTATTAATTGATGTTTGTTGTTAGCTCAGCTAGAGTTCTTTAGTTTGGCCATACCTATATCAATCAGCATCTCATGGATAAGAATGTCTTTATCAGGCAGTGAAGTGTCAATAAGGGTTAGTTCAAGTTTGTGACTTCCCATGCCAATCTCAGTGTCAAAAACCTTCTTTCGTACCACAGAAACAAAAGGTTTATCTACAACAATCTTCTGAAATTCAAAGCACTGTAATGGATTCCAGTCACCATGAAGAGGGACTATGTCTAAAAACATAAAAAGTACAGGTAAGAAAATTAGTTTGTATTATAATACTATAAAAGTTACTCGACTAGCTTCTTAAAAACTAATGCAAATTTTTTTCAGGAAACAAAATGTGATTAAAATCTATATTACATATCTTCACACACACACTTTCTACTACTCACTATTAATTGCTTACATAAGTACTTACTTAAAAATAAATTCAAAACATAGCAAAATAGTCACAATATGTTTATCAGTAACAGTAAGAACATTTCCCATGCTATTTATTACAAAGAAATGTTTACTTATACTTCAATTTAAAATTAGTTTCTCTAATAATTACAGGTACATTTTGTTTTAAAGATATGTGCTAATTTTTATCTAATGAAAATAAAAGAGAAAGTGACAAAGAGATACTTGAATGAAAAGTCAACCTAAATACTGTTCAAATTATACAGTATAAAATAACTCAGTACAAAACCAACACCCTGTGAAGTCTATGCTAAATATCCCATGCAGTATAAGACAAACAACCTTTTCTTGAGACATCTAGTATAACAGAAGCTAATTTCCAATGCAACTTTAAATGTCCTTACAAAATACACAATAAAAAAAGAGCAATAATGTTCAATTTTAAAGACTGAAAAGAAAAAACTAAAAACAATGACTGGAAATATAAAACCTGCTTGGTTTTTAATTTTTCCTTAAATTCCAAGTGTATATTTACTGATGCTTTCTGCCTGCTACTGTACTTATGTTATATTGTTTTGTGGTATATAAATATATTAGGAAAATAAAGTTTCTGGTCATTATTACAGACCTATCTTCAAGAATTGAACATTGTGCTCTATCAGAACTTTGTAAGATTACGAAGTTCTATAGGTTAACATTTTCCTAAATTGAAAATATATTTCCAATAATACTTACCTCCACTGACACTTATAGCTATTACTCAACCTCCAGGCTTTCTACTTCTTTGTCCATCTAAGCATCGGTCTGACTTTTTCTCACTTGCTCTAGTCTTTTATACCCCACTAAATTGCCCATACTGATATATGTCTTGTGATACTCTCCACCCACATCAATGCACCCTCTATACTGGTATTGTATATAAGCACTTCATTCAGATAATTTTATCACATTTTCAAAACTGACACCATCCCAGTCTCTAACACTGGCTCTTAGTGGGGAAGAAGGGTGAGAGAGTGTCAGCAGAGGTAAGTATTATTGGAAATACATTTTTAATTTAGGAAAATGTTAACTTCCAAAACATATTTACCATTGCTGACACTTATAGCTAGAATCCCACATTGAGAAGGTGGAGGAGCCGGTGAGGGTGTTACCCATACAAAAAGCATCTGCATAGAGCATGGGTGTATCAAGATAAAATTGGTACAAGATTGGTGGGGAAAACTCACTACATCCAAAACAGGTATGCACTCCACCCAAGAACATAGTTTCTGTATGAAGGGTGGAAATTGTACACAAGTGATTATCATTATAGGCCAATCCCAACCAGATATCCAAGGTTCCATTACTCAGGGTTAGAATTAAGGGGTCTTGGTTCCTATATTCCATATTGATGGCTAAGGCAATTGGACTGCAACGTTACATAGATATATATAATTGATCGAATCCCAACCTGTAACCATAGAGTGATGTGTTCCGAACAACCAGAATCATGGGCAGGATTCCCTTTAACTTTACTCATGATGGTCCATGAGTGGCAGTCCTGCATAGCATGGTAATACCACCTGGTGAGCTTCTAGGCAGTCTTATGGAACACCTCATTTCTACAGAGCGTGTTGCAACCTGTATAAAGTATATTGAAATAGTGGTTGCTTGTGTGAAATTGGTTAGATAAAAGCACACCTCTCCGGGAAACACTCATCACAGAGTGGGATCCTATGAAAAGGGACCCTAAAAGGTAGAAAGAAAAATACTCATCCTTCTGTATAATCTAGCTGAAGTGTTTAAGATAGCTACAGGGGATAGGTGAAAACCCTCTGATGAAAATATTGCCAGATCATGCAAATAATGTGATATAAAAGTATTGGGGAGTGGACAATTCAAATGGTCTGCTAAAAAGATAGAAATACGACAAATCTGATAAGACATGACTCACAGAAGGTTCCTTGCCTTCAAAGAGAGCCCAGAATAAAAAATCTTCATCTAGCATTTCAAAAGGCATAAGTGCAAGCAATAAAACCTTCAAGACACTCACTGAGCATGACAATAACGAAATGAGATCGATCATCAAGTGAGAAATAGTGATCAGATGAATTGGTGAAAAGGATTAATCCCCTTCCCTGTTTGAGTGTCTTGGCTAAGAAGAACTGGTCTGAGGATGGTGGTAAAATGATAAGGTGTTCTGTGGTCAAACAGTGTAAACCACTCCAACTGGCTATGTCTGAAGGTTAGCGGCAATGAAAAATAAACCTTCAGGTAGAGGTGATACATGGCATACGAGAAGGACACCAACAGGTGTAGAGAAAGGGCATGTAATAAAACATGAACATATTATGTAGGTAGCTGGAATGGTTGTTTGATACAAAGGACCTCAAGCAATCTAAGAAATCCAGAAAGTAGGGAAACCCCACTGTCCATGTATAGACTCTGGAAATTCCTAACTGTTGGTACATGCACCACATACCTCAAGTAAGGCATTTGTGAAGAGGTGGAATTTAGGAGAAGGGGGTCAATATCGGAAATCACATCTGAGTAGCATCACAACTGAAAAACTCCAAAGATAGAATAATGATCTAGACGAAGGAACTGGGGATATCTAGTTAGGCAATGGTTGCGAACCCTTGGATGCATAAAGACCATGAAAAGGATCACTTGTGCATTTATCCCAAAGACATGAGGGATTCGCATGAATGCACATTCCCAGAAGAGAAAGAACTCTCTGTTCAGGGGGAGAATGGGAGGTAAGTAAGAGCTGGATTACCTGTTCCATCGCACAGAGCTGAATAGGAGTCAGCTGAGTCTGACTGAGAGATGAGATGAATTAGAGCAAAAAGAGATGTCTCAGCTCTGAGAATGAAGCCTGCCTTGATGGTTTCTGAAAGTAGAATCTAGGTGTGCTGTTTTGATAATAGACAAGATGATGCCAGCAGTAAGCAGTCGTTTATGTACACAGAACTACGGAATGGAGGTGATGAGAAAAATCGCTTAGGATTCGGCAGAACCAATGTGAAGCCTATGCTAGTCTGAAGGTAAAAACTTTGAAATGCAGTACCTGACCCTTGTGCATAAATAATACCATTAGTGGTGGAATGCTATCACCATGGCAAGGTGCAAATAAGAGCTGAGTACAACAAACTTAGACATCCACAATCCCAAGAAAAACTAATCAACACAAAATGAGGAAATAGTAACCTATTAATCTTGGAGAAATGAGGCCTTGATATAGATAAAAATAATCGACGATGGGACACCAATCTCCTTTCTTACTAGGCCCAACAATCGATGAGAATAAACCCCTGGAAGAATGAGCATGACTCACTCACTATCCCCAGACCAGCCAAACACTGATAGCCCTAGAATTAAATTCAAATTCACAAAGATCTACGGGAGACAGAAATCCAACAGGTTGGGTGGATAATAGTGTTGAAGATCTAGCTCAAGGACCTGTAGAGCTCCTGGATCCATGGGTAAGAGTACCCCATGTCCAGAAATACTCCGAGTCAAGCCCCCACAGACCCTAAAGGCATACGATAAACACTAATACTGCAGATGGTGATCCTACCAAACAGCTTAACCTGTGGAAATAGACAGAAGTTCTGATGTCCAGGGTTAGAACTCTCAAATATGGCCAGAATTAAGATTCCCTTGTAGGGAATGTCAAAGAGAACAGGGATGACTGTAGAAGTCTACAAACAAACCAAAGTACATGTTATCAATGGTTCCAGCTCATCATCAATGAAGGTGATGAACCTGAGATGTTTCCAACAAGTGTAGGAAGGAAAACAGAAGGTTAGAGTTGTATGTCCATAGACATACCCTGTCCTACCAGGAGACAATAATGTATCCAGGTAAAGTAAAACATCTGCCACAGAAGCTACTGTTTTCAATACGTATATACCATTTACACACAATACTGTCTTTACATACTTATTTTTAAGAATTTGATGAAATAAGATTTAAGAAGTTTGAAGTAAAAAATGACATAAATAAGTGTCAAATATACAACTGTTTAGTGTAAGAATTATCATTTAGTTCATTTAGTGATTAATATTTAATGATTATTTAGTTTTTGTAACAAGTGTTAAAAGTTGATTATTTTAAAAGTGACAGTTATGACAAATTTTGTTACATGATTAGTTAAGAGTCATACGTTGTGTGTGTAGTTCAACTGTTTTAAATTGACATCACATAACTCAAACCTTATGTATTTTTCTCATTGCCTTAAGTGAGTATTGTTACATCATAGTGTCTCGTAGTTTATAGCAAGTTCTAGGCGAAAGTTGGGCAATGTATATATATGTAGGTAACCATGTGAGCACAAGTGAAGTTAAGTCAGAAAAAGTTAAGTTAGTGAAAGTGAAGTTTGACTGTGTGATTGTTAGTTTAGCCATAACAGGCAATATTTTAAAGAGAGTCTCACAGTTAACAGAGATAAGGAGAATAACTTGTCTTGTCAAAGGGTGTTCTAAAGTAATTGAACCCACCTGTGTGGACTCTGATGAAAAGAAGACAATTATTTAAAGTTCTGGATACAACTGTGGTAATCAATGGGGTAACGTAAGTGAATTTACCACAGACTTTGCAGTAAGAAACAGAGTAGAGAAAAATAATTTGTCTTGTCAATTGGGTTCTGAAGTAATGAATCAGCCTGTGTGGGCTTTTGATATAAAAGAGAAATATTTAAAGCTCTGGATACCACTATGGTAACCCACGGGGTAATGTAAGTGAATTTATCACTGATTCTATTGTAATAAAAGAGAAGAAATAATTCATCTTGTCAATTGGGTTATGGAGTAAGTGAACTTGCCTGTGTGGACGTTTGAAAAAAAAAAAAAAGAATTATTTAGTTTTAGATAAAACTGTTACTTTGTAGTGTAAAGAATTTTTGTACACACATTAGACTTGTTTTGAATATATTATTTTAAAACAAGTGGATTGTGTGCTGTCCATTTATTGTTCAAATCTATCCCCAACAAGTCACAGACACCCACTGTAAAAGAATCCTAGCCCACATATTTAAAACCCTAACAATAAGTAGGTTATGGGAAAATGAGATGAAATATTTATACAAGTTTTAAAATCATCATAAATATGACAAGATAAAAAACATAAAAAAAAAACTTCAAATTTTGGTAATCATAAATCCTCCATGGAAATAATCACAAAGGTAATCAGGTCATATATTTTATACAGAGAGTGAGAGAAAGAGAGAGATTGCTTACCAGCTAATGATCCATGGATGGCTTGGCATGGAAGAGACCTGAACTGTTTCCACAAAGGTTGTAGGTCCTGAAGACTCATCATGGAAAAGTCTCCATAGTCCACAAAATGAACAATTACCTAAACAAATGTTAAAAAGTATTTTATGTTTCAATCTCTGCTTTTGCTTTTATATAAGGATATATACAGAAAAAAAGGTCTTAGCCCTCAATACACAATTTAATCATTTATAATAAACAAAACAATTATTTTTATAGAAAATAAGGAATATTTGTCAAAAAAATATTCAGTATCAGAGACAGATCTGAAATTCAATTTTCACACATATGCTTCCACTTTTTTTCCTGCTACAGATAAACATTTATAAACAAATAATATACAAAAACTATTTCTAAGTACTTTTAAGACTTTTTTAAAATGACTTACATGTTACATTTTAAATACTTCTTCAAAAAGTTCCACTTTATGAATACCTAGAAACATAAACCCTTAAGTATTATAGTATTTATTATGCAAAATACTTACCATTAATGGATCTTGTTGCAGAATATTTTTTACTCTAACTCTGTACCACAAGTCATCTTTGTTGTGTTTTCCAGCATAGAACTGCCCTTCTTGTAGCAAGCATTCATGCATATCACATATGTTTTCCTGATTAACAAAATCAAAATCATTTTGACCTAAAATGAAGTGACTGGATTAATGAATTACTGTGATGATGTTTTCATAACACCTTCCACAAAACAAACTTGCTACAAAAAATAAAACCTTAATTTTATTATTACCCTCAAAAATAAGTGCAACCTTTGAACAAACACAGTAATGGGAGTATTTTGTTTACAACAAAGATACAACACATTTGCTTACAAAGAAAGAAGATACTTCTGATATTAACACATAAAAGAGCTTTATTTTCTCGAATACAGCAAAGATACTACTCTACTTTCAGTAGAGTAATCTTATTATCTTAATAATTTATCATGTTGTTAATATTTCTCTGTTGTTTTAAATTAAATCAAGCAAAAAATGGCCAGAATTCCTTTTTAATGGGCTATATTGTCTGTATTACTGTATAGGTTGCAAAGAGAGGATTTAAGGATATTTTATATATTCTATGCAAATAGACAAGTTTGTTATCAAAAGGTTTCAAAAGCACAGAATCGCTACATGCCTTTATGAAACAGTGCATTTAGCAAAAAATATTTTTTCATTTTTAACAATTCAGTCATTCGTGAAATAATTAAAACTATCAATAAACTTTATAGGATTACTCTAAAATAATTTTCTGTTCAGACATTAATTAAAGGGGTAGTCCATAATTGGGAATTATATTTTGCATTAATTTGATAAAATAACAAAGCACACACACACACATATATATATATACACATATATTCAACTAGCGTTTCTAGATGTATTTTATATTTTCCAATGATTGATATATGAAGAGGTCTGTAATGGTTCAAAATAAATTTGAAACAGATCAGAGATGAAATGGTGGTTAATTTCATGCCTAATACATCATAATAAAAAAAACCAATTAAAACTATGTTATCAATATTTGAAATAAATTATTCGTGCATTAACAAAGTAATTCAAAATTTTATTTAATGTTTTATGTTTCTTTTCCTAATAACACCCCTATTTTAGAAATTCAACTAAATTAAAAAAAGGATTATTTGGTTTATTTCGGGTATTCACACAAAGATACACAATGGCTCTATACAGTAGTTATCCCTTATTTTGAATTGAAAGACTAGTGGGAAGACAGCTGGTCAACAGCCTCAACATGCTTTGCTGAGCATGATTTTGTAGCAACAAAACATGAACTATACATCCACAGTCTGGCATGCTAACCACCAAGGTTAGAAGAGTATTCTGTTTAACACAGCCAAGTAAATCAGATGGAAATATTTCCAAGTGTGCTTTTTTAAACTTGTTTTTTAATACCATAACCTTAAAAATGAAAAGGAACAACAAATATATTCAGTTTATAATTTTGGTTTCACAAATCTGGTAGCTAATTGGGATATTTTTGAAAAGAAAAAAAAAAGAATACAGTTCTATAACCTTTTAGCAGTGATGACAATAAAAGCTTAATTAAATTTAAGTACTCTATCTTAAATTTATAATAATTACCAAAAAAATGTATTTAAAGAAGTAGACTTGCCTCTAAGGAATAAAAGGACTGCATTTCTTCATTTAATTGCTGTAATATCTGTCCATGTTTCCAAGACTGACACTAAAAAATTAGCCAACATCTATATAAATCTGCAGTTTTTATATCAATTAAGAACACCAAACTAGACTTTTTGCTCCTTCCAGATTTAGGAAACAAAATTGTAAGAAAATATTTATGATTACATTATATTATTTCCAAAATACATTTATCAAACTTTGTTTACATTTCAATTTAAATCAAGATTCTCCAGACAATTTTGCATTCTGATTTAACATTTAGATATTTTATAAAAGAGAAAAATAAAACCTTACAGTGTCCAAAGTAAAGTGTAAGTTATTCAAAACTAGCAAATGCCAATCGAAATAATTCAATGGTAAACTAGTGATGAATAAATAGAATATGTGTAGTCAACCCAATGTCTTGTATCACAGTGTATATATAATATGATAGTCCGGTAGGCTGTTAACAACCATATTTTGTAATTCCATGTGTTATTTCAATATGGAAAATTGTATTGCTTTGTTTTTAAGCAAAGTAGACTGACAACAATATATTGGTGGCAAAAATATTTAGGTTTCAAGGTAATGGGTGCATCCAACACTCAGGTTTGCTATGTAGCCATAGGGATTTTTTTCGCTAGATGCTACCATTTGTTGTCATTTATATAAGAAGTGTCAAAGGGGAGACATTCGAATCAATACATTTGACATGATACAATAAAATCATGCATGTATATAATACCAACACGAAAAAAACAACAAAAAACAAAGATGGAAGAAGTTCCATTTTTTGTGAAATTTTCTCACAAAAGAAACATTTTTGTTCTTAATAATTATTATTATTATTTTTTTTCAAATTGACTATTATTCAGCACATTTAAAGATTGACAAATCAATGTTCATATTGATATGAAATTTCAGGAATTGCAAAAAACGAATAATTTTCCTGTAATGTAATCTTGAAAAAAAGTATTCTGATATATAATTTTTTAACTGTTCAGGAGATACACAGCATGACAGAGAGACAGACACACATTTGGCTATTATATATATATATTTAGAAGCTCACATCATAAGCTGTCCTATAAAGTACGACATTAGTCGTAGTGAATGCATTTGGAATTGCAAGTACTCTATCTTTGTTTCAAGTTGCTAAATTTAATTTTACACTAATATTTGCTTCAAATCAAAATTATTAACACAAAATATATTTAGCAATTTAAATCATCAATAAAATTCAAAAATGTGAAAGTAAATGCTTTTATTACTTACAGAAAAATTATGTGGATTAGCTGCAACAGTTATTAAAAGGTCAAAATATTCCCCTACTTCAGGGACTTTGGGAAGCTGAAGTGGTGGGAAATTGAGATTTTCTGAATCATCTGGAGTCACAGCTATCTGCTTTAACCTAGATATAAAAAAAATAAACTCTTATTATTCATCTATTTTTAAAACATAATTCATTATTATTAAAAAAAGAACACTGTTGAAAAAAAACTATTTATTACATCATTGACAAACAAAATTATGAAATACTTATTTTTCTCTATAATTTAATACAGACTCCAGTTTTAAAAGAAAAAGAATGATATTCAGTTATGTGTAACTATCAAAGCTGTGAAAAATAAAATAAATGTTCAATAAATACATACAAATACATCCTATTTGTGCAATAATTTTGGTGTTTAAATATTTTAGTTATGAATTCTCAGTTTCTTTCTTTGTCTTACAACAAAAAGCAATGTATTATATCTGCTAGCTGTTCAAATGACACAGTAATTTTAATCTCAATAGATCTTTCCTATGTATATTTTTAAAATGCATAAAATTAGTACTATGTGCATAAAGACAGATTAACTAGGAGAAAGATAACATTTTGTAAGACAACTCCAAACCAGCTTGAATTTTAAAATAATGGTAGAAAGAGCAAAAACATTAATTAAAATAAGAAAAAATTTGAATAATATGTATATTACAAAAACTCATAATTGTAACTACCAAATTATATTAGAAACTTCAAGTGATAAGCATCAACTTTTTAATATTTATACACTAACAAAGAGAAGACTCGCAGTTTGTCTCAGAATTTAATGACATGTATGTAAATATTGTGAAGATGTGGGAAGAATATTTAGTCAAGTTGCAAGATAAGAAAGTACACTGTAGCCCAATTATTATGCGATTGTTGAGGTCCATAAAATATCATTGCGAAACAAGCAGGGTCATGCTAAATCAGGGTTTTGTAAAGATACATTTAAAATATTAAAAGTTATTGGTATGTAAACTATAATGAGGTCATGGTTACGAGTTCAGTCCCAGGGACCGAGCCTGTGTCGAAAGAGTTAATGACCCATTGCATTATATCTGAATTCGCATTAAATCAGGACGTGTAAAATCGGGGTTTCACTGAATTTGATTGTGTGTGTGAGAGAAAAAACATACTGGCAAACTTCTTGTTAATGTTAATTTTGAGTGTTTCATTGTCTCTAAAATTTAAAACAAATGCAACATTACCTATTATCCAGGGTGATAATGGCTATTTTAAAGGTAATTAATAGAGTTACTTTCTTTAACCCTTAAATGCATAACAAGGATCACAAACAACTCATCCCTTCAATAATTGGGTTAAAGCTGATGAATAAATTTGTTTGGTTGAACCATACTTTTTAAATCCATCAACTGAAATTTTTTACTGAATTTAACAGTTATATAATCCAAATGCATAAGAACTTGAATGTTGCAGAAGAAATTTGAAACAAAATACATGAGAAACATTATGTAAAGTATGTATTGTACATTTGTTGGATGTTCTAAATAATTATCATAAATGTAAATAATATATATATACATGTTTATCATAGATGCTCTGCAAAAATGTGAAAGCCAGAAACAGCATCAAGAGTTAAATTTGTCCTTACTTGAAAATGTATTTCTGATAGATGCTCACCTCCATACATATACCAGCTATTTTTCTCTTGACGTCTTGCTATTCCGCCTTAGAGACGTGCATGACACCAGATTTGTGAAACTCCCACCTAAAATTCCTGTGAAAACATGTGAAATCACACTACTGCATGATGATGTATCATGCAGCAAAACTCTTCACCAATACGAGTGTGACACACCTCTTTATGCAAATGTTCCCTCCACATTAACACATGAAAATCTTCATTCTTTGATGATGAAGTTAATAAAAGTGCACTGGGAAAGTGGACAGAAGGGGTGGGAAAATGTACAAAGGTGAGTATCTATAAGAAATACATTTTCAGGTAAGAAAAATGTTAACTTCTGATACAATGACTCACCTCCATACACTGATCAGCTAGAATCCCAGTGTAAAAAATACCTAAATAAGCCAACTTTCAAGAGGGCCAAAATGAAGCCCATGGGGTGCAACACACCCATAGGAGACCACATGTCATCTCAATTAAGGTATACTGTTTGCCTGAGTGAAGGACAGGGAGAGGCAAGAAGCGTGAAAGATTTTGCAAATACAGGCGGAATAGGTACATTGCACACAAGCTGTCGGATAGCCAATATGTGTAGTAAGGTTGGAGCATGTTCAGACTGTACCATGTGTGCTCAACTCCTCAACTAGTCTCTATGGGCCAATACTAGCTGTGCGAGAAGGGCACATGTGAAAAGTATAGGTGTACAGCTCTTCAACACTCAGACACTAAGGGTGTAAACACTACAGTGGACACAACTAATAAAGATGCTTATGAAATCACTACTCAACCATCAGAATCTACTGGCTGAGCATCAGCTGTGGGAGTAGGGTTAATGAATGATACATCACAATTGGATATTAAGAAATATCACTTACCCTGCAAGTATATTCCGTGGTGTCATGTCCTTACAGGAGCAGGCAAAGGCGACACAAAGAGTAAATGAGCTTTGTGTCCGAAATCCATTCTAAGACTGTATCTAGATAAGATTGGAGTGGTATCTACTACATTGTGTTTTAGCACCAACTGTTAGGTTCCAATCAGAGAGGATATTTTATTTCACCACCCCAGCGGCTTGGAGCTGGTAAGTGGCAAGGGTCTCCTGTGCTCCACTTGAACGGGGGAGGAAAGAATTCACATAGGGGAGGACCCACAGAATGTGCCAGATCCCCATCAATACTTCAGTCCAGAAAGATCTATACTGGAAACAGTGTAATAGGTAACAGCAAAACCCTATTTTTAAAAGCCAACAAGTGTTAGCCAGAGGAGTGGGGAAAAATACAACTCTGATGCTGGCTTTTTCCATGATAGTCCATGAAATGGGTACAGTCTAGATCAGACTGGAAAACATACCATGAGTGGAATATCAGTGGTCTGGTGGAACACCCCATCTCACAGTGGGCACTGACTAGGCCAGGGCAGATGGTTTGAGCACATTGTTATCTGGGCCTGATGTGGAAGTTTGGGTAAGTATACCCTGTGAAGCAAAACTAGCCATCTAGTGGGATTCAAATATAGAAGAAAGGTGAGGAAAGAATAAGTAAATGAATACTCACACCAATTAAAGGTGCGGGTTAATTGAAGAGTGGCAGTTGATGGAAGTCTATATGCTAGTGGACACAAGACAGCCAGATGGTGGAGATATATTAATGTGAGACAAATGATTGTGGGGTAGTCCACATAGCAGCCCAGAGAAGAGGGGAGAAAAACTGAAGAGAGGAGACTCGAGAGAGCATACAAACATTCACCTTCAGAGTGGTATATAGAAAATGTATGAGCTGGCAGGTCCAAATAGTAATGGGGTCAGGAAAGTGGCTCCAGGTAGAGGAGGGGTCCCAGGTATGAAATGACAAAACACTGTGTGATCTGGACAGGATAAGAGCATCTGTCCAGATCAAAAATAACACCGTAAAGAAAAATTGAAGGAGGAGATACTGGAGTAAAAAAGTGACCACTTAAGCTTGTCACCATGGAATATGAGGGAAGGAAAGACTGGCTAGTACAAAAGAGAATCGAAGTGTGGTAATGAAAGTATGAAGAAACAAGGGCTTAGATATCTGTACAATGCCTATCAATGGCAAGTAGAAATAGGACACATCTGCTGAGGTTTGAGATGGAACACGGTATGAGCATGGAAACCACAATATAATTCAATTAGACAAGAAAAAGGAAGGGGGGCCAGTGGATAAGGAAGGAATGAAAGAATGTAGAAATGAGACATAGAAGAAAGTACACTGTGACACCAGGAAAGGAGGAGGAAATGCTGCCCTAAAACCCAAGAGAGAAGAAATGTACAGATCACGGGAGAACTGTCTGTCCAATGAAAGAGGAGGAATTTGTTACAATGTAATGAAGTCAAAGGGAAATGTGAGAATGAGACTAAGGTGATAAGTACATTTCACACATTGGCACACAGAAGCAGTAAAAAAGTGACAGGAGTGGGACAAAATGACAGCTACATGATCAGGGAGATCATATCCTGAAGAAAGATAAAAAGTTGGGAAGGGGAAATCAGGGCTGAGACACAAGAAAGTGATGTAATAGAAACAAGGCTGGGATGGCCTCAAGGGGTCACCAAAAAGACCCCCTAAGGATCCAAAACTGAGTAAGGATCTGAGGGAGGAGATAGAGAGGAGGACATACAAAATGAAAAAGATAACACCAGTCTAGACTGGTGAGATAGTCAGCCAAGGTTGAGAAATGAGGCACAGGAGATTGGTATAGAGGAAGTTAGTGAAGATGAGGTAGCAAGGCAACAAAAGAGGAAGTTTTAGGAAGCAGAACAATGGAAGACTAGTAGGTGAGGAACTAATCCGAAGATGTGTAGTACCCCCCTAAACATGACAAATTATGAAACACTCAAAAGGAATAGGCTCAGAACTATGTCTGAACACTATCTTCTATGTGTATATGTGAAAGAATAAGGAAAGAAGCCTAAACATTATTTACTATAAGTACATGTTACAGTGAAAATAGTCACATCTAAACGTGATATGGTATGGAGTATGGTTGAAAATAAGAAAAGTTGAAATAATTTACTTCAAGTCTCAGCAAAAATAAACATGTCTTAGCATAACTGTGCCCAGGAAAATAATGAGGATTTTCACACATGAGCATTTCGTAAAGTGTGTTGCACTCCAATTGGTGGAGGTTTTGCTGTATGATACGTCAACACATGGTACAGCAATTTCACCCATTTTCACGTGAATTTTATATGAGAGTTTCACAAAACTGGTGGCATGCAAGTCTCTAAGGCAGAATAATGTGACTTCAAGAGGAAAATACCTGATCTGAGGCAAGTCATTGTATTGGAAACATCAATTTCTTCAAAATGCAAAAGATGTTCACCATGCCCTACCTTGAAAGAACAAAAAACTGGCACAACTTGTACAAAATCCTATTCACCTATCTATTCTGAACATTCAAAAACAATGAAAATAACTATAAATAATAAGTGCAATAAATACTTAGCCAAAACTTTTATAATAAAATTTGTTAATGACTTCACCTGGTGTCTTATTGATTTTTATCATCAGAGATGTTATGTTTCCCATTACTTTTCTTCTGTTTTTCAAACTGAAATGTCTTGATGTATCTCTGAATTACTCTTTGTTGGTCAAAGATATGTTTTGTTTCATATCATAATGAAATTTTGTTTAATATTGTTTTATTTTATTTTTTCCCAAATCAGGTCAATTGTGACCCACATTATGTATTAATGTATGTAAAATACGCTGTGCATTTATGGGGTAAAAGTTTGTTTTCACACAGCTAAACTGACTGTTTTTATCATGTTTTTTGTGCCTTAAAAAGTTTCCTTAAGTGACAGTTTCATGAAGCAGAAAATAAAGTCTAATACAACCACAGATATAACATATATAATGAACATTCCAGAATACACACATTCCATCTTCAATAAATTCCAACAGTAAATAGGGAAATATAATAATAAATAAACTAAATGTTAACTCTTTCTAGATGGGCTCAGTCAAATTGACCTACCACGTGACCATTTTGTATTTGTTTAAAGTCATTATAGTTTTGATACTACTAACTTTTAATATAGTTTATCTTCACAAAATTTGGCAGACTTTCAGTAAACATTAAAAGACTTTTACAAACAAGAAATCAGATTTTTACTGAAGTATTTTCAATTAACTTAAAAAAAAAAAGATTTGTCAGTGGATATATAGTTTTTTAATAGTCCGAGTGCAAAGTGTTTTTCATCTTAAGATTAAAGATAGTGTTCTTCATCGCAAAAATCTCAGATTTCATTTGTATAATCTCTACAACCACCTAAATAAATTTCAAGTGGTTTTTTTTCAGTAAAACTTTATATTTTATCTGTTATTTTCTCTACTATAACTCTATACAAAGTTGGTCAATTTTTACCAACTTTTTAACCAAAAAAAAAAAAAAAAAAAAA